ATATACATATATAGATATAGTATAGATAACTATCACATCTAGAAAAATATTACTTCACATCCATAGCCAGACAGTTCAAATGCTACTAGTTACATGTGATCTTAAAATAATACTAATCTGCTCTGACAGGCGACATAGATAATGAGGCTGAACATTACATATCCGGCTCACAGGCCTTCACAAAAGTCAATGTACGCATTGCAAAAAAAATGAATTAAAAAAAATATTATGGAAATAAATCTGAAAACGTAAAACCTTTCGCATTAGATAGAACGAGAAGTAGTTAACTGATTTCAAGCAAATGCATTTCTTGACCTATTGTTTATAGCCGCGAGATCATTGAGATATACACATACATATATGAATGCATATGTGTGTATATATATCATGTACGTATCAATTGCACAGCGCTTGTTGAGCACGAAACAAGTTTGCAACAAAGATTACAATATAATCCAATTCATATGAATATATATTGGAATATGTATGTCTATATTTGTATGGAATGTAATAAAAATCAGCTGTAAGACTGGCTCATATATAGAACAACACTGTAAGCATGAAAGCGAGACAAAATTCTTAACTAGACTAGAATAGCGACAATTGTTGAGTTCATTCAGGCAGAGACTGTACACATATACCTACAAATAGTCTGTATGTACAATATATGCATATTAGATTGTCTATTATATTACAATATGTCTGCTGGCTAATGACTGTGTTTGCCTTCGCCAAGAAATCATGTTTTATAATAATGACAGGCGTCACACTAATTTATGATATGCCCCAAAAAAAAGAGAAAAAACAATACTAATAAAAAAGATATATATGTATATAATAAATAAGGAAGTATTCAAAAGCAGCTCACCTCTCACAGACATACATACATACCTATATATGTATACATATGTGTGCGTGCGATGATCACGGGATGTGGCTGATGATGAATGATGATGCTGCTGGCTTAAAGGCGGCCACAGGCTGCCATGGGGGCGCTGGAGTGTAGCGAAGTGAAGGGAAGTGAAGTGGGCACTCCTACCTAAAAGCACATAAAATAAATTTCACCTCAAGAAACTCAGAAACAGAGACAGCGCTGAGGCCCACGCGAAAACGAGCCGGGCCAAAAAGAAATGTGACAGCAGAAAGCGCTGAAGAGCCAAAGACAAACATGAATACGAATAACTATACATCTATATATACACATACATATATGTATATGCCGAGTGTGAGATCTGTCCTAATTGCAAGAGCCTAGATCTGTCTGCGTGTGCCATATAAAATCCAATCTGATTGCACAATTGGTTTCACAATAATAAAAATATTGCTCATTTATAATTGTAATCGTGTGGCCGTACCACCACCCAGAGCCAGAGCCTCAGCCTCAGCCTCAGCCTCAGCCCCAGCATCCAATGTGCCCAATAGCCCGCAGCCAGTTCGGGTCGCAGTGAGAACGCTCAATGGGTAAACCCGTTTTGGTGTGCCACGTTAAGAAACCAGAGAATCAGGCAGCGAATAACCAAAACTCAATAACAAATACAAATTTATGTAAAGTCAAGTCAAGTCAATGTAAAAAAGAAATATATTTATGCATGCATGTATGTATGTATGTGTGTATGTGTGTATGTAGCGAGGGGCGACAGACGCACAGAGCTGAAAGCCAAAAAGCAAACACGAAACGTGCCGAGTTTAAAAATAAAACAACGCAAATCTCGTGCGCCGCTGTGCGCCGCTCTACGCGCTTCTCACTGGCACAAGGCGCTCGGGCCAGTGGCAGGCATGTAACTGGTTTCCCTAGCTGCCAGTCTCAGAGATTTTGCTGCTGCTGTTGTTGCTTTGCTCTCTTTGCCATATCGTATGGTATTTTATGCATGTTTCGCACTTGCCTCACGATTATTGTTATTGCGCTGGCCAGCGGGCAGCGGCCCGCCTCAGATTTGGTTCGGATTGAAATTGAATTCATGCATATTATTATTATCGAACTGAAGTTGTAGTCGCTCATGCATACACACACACACACACACACACACACATATGCATATTAGTCTGTCTGTCTGTCTCGCTGTCCGTGTGCATGGCCGTTGTCTAGGCAAATTGTTAGCAGCGCCACCTGCCGTCAGTCAGTTACATACATTCAGACATGGCTACGTCAGCTGATTTGCACGCGCCGCCCCACAAAGAGATCGAGCGGCGTTTACAGTTAGAGCGAATTAACTGTCGACCAGTTTTTATTTATAGCACATGCATTCGGCTCGTTATTTATGCTATGCTAAGTGCATTTCATTTGCGAATTGGCAAACTCTCTTGAAACTTAATTAAATTGCAATTGCAATTAGAAGTGTTTCTACACCCATTGAAAACGCGATATCGGGGTATATACTTTTTGAGCAAGTGTATGTAACAGGCAGCAGGAGGCGTGGCAGATGCCATACGGCTTGTATACTGTTAATCTGGATAACGGGCTGGGTTGATCTAGCCATATCCATATCTGTCTATCCGATTGTCCATCTCTCCATCTATCTAAACGCAAATATCTCGTAAACTTTAAATACTAGAGATTTGAAATTTGGCATATATATTCGTGCATACTATACGCAGCGAGTGCTTATTATATTTTTTCAATAACTTATCGATAGTTTGGCTTTATTTTTAATTGATTAATTAAATAAATTTATTTTGAATGTTGCCAGAACTAGAAAATTCAGATTCCTTCTATTGGTACGCTTAATGAATATATAGACCTTTTATGCTTTTAATTTTGAATGTCGTGCTCTCTTAACCTTAAGTATACGTCAAGTATTAGCCTTTGGAGAGTCCTGGGTATCTCGTAGTCGAGCAGTCTCAACTAGAGCACTCTTACTAGCTACAAATGTTTGTAGTCAGCAATATCTGTGAGATTTCGCTTATAAAGCTCAAGCAAAACATTTTCATACAATTTGTAAATGTGCTCAGATATATACATATATACGCATGCACATATAATGCATTTATATGCTTGTAGAATTCTCTCTGCCCCGTCCATACATGTATTTCGTAGCGCTCTATAATGCTATTATTTTAGTGCAGGCTGTTCAATGTCCACTCAGCCACTGACACCTGCGGCGTATGAGTAATATTTCGCCAATTGCATTCGTCTGGGCCGYATTGACGTGGCCACGCGCTGTTGTTGTTGTTGATTTTTTTGACTTATTTTATTTTATTCAATTGTTGTTGCTTATGTTTGTGTGTTGGTCGCCAAAAACTTGTTTGTGCTGTGCATTTTTTTGCGTTTTAGTACCTAATTAAATGCAATTTTGTTCTGTAAATGCCAAAAAAAAGAAAAAAAAAACACACACACACACACAAACACTCAGAAGACGAAACAACAAAATGAATATAAATAATAATAATATTAATAGTAGCAATAAAAAGCCAGAGCAATTACAGTTTAAGTTACACGAATAGAAATCTTTTTATAATACACTTAAAAAAAAAACCTTTTTAGATAATTTTGAGCATTTTTTTTATTTGTTTCTTTTTTTTCTTTATTGATAAGGTCGGGGAATTTTCGTACATTTTGTTGCGTTTGTGATTTGCATACAAACAAAACAAGATTCAATCCACCTTCACTTGTCTACCAAGACCTAAGGCCCCCGCCCAGACCCCGCCCACTCGCATCACGCGCTCCTCCTCAATCTGCGTGTGAACCAAGGGAATCGTATTATGCGATAATCTTTAAACTACTTACATACGATTTTGTTGTAAAACACAAACACACACACACAAAAAAGAAACAGTAATCGATTCGAGCTTGCATAACGCCGCTTGTTGTTGTGGTAGTTGTTGTTGTTAGCCACCTAATTGGCCAGGGAACGTGGACCCAACGCCGCCAACGACTCCGTTAAATGCCAATTACAGTTTTGTGCCTCCCCAAAAGCAAAGCCAAAAAAAAAAAAATAAAATGTAAAATATATAAATATAAAAAATAAAAAAAACTTTACGTAAATTGCGTTAGCGCTGAAAAAATCGCCCCCGCGGCGCCGCGAGCGCGCTGTAACCTTCTGAGCGGTTGCGGCAGCGCATGCAAAATCACAATTTCGATATATACAAATATATATATATGTATATATACATCTCTCTCTCTATATATGTATATATAGATGGAGATATTTTGGGCCAGTTCTACGACCGTGCCCAGTTAGTTATCTGGCAGGTGCCTTGCGCATTTTTTATGACCATTTAAAGGCCGCGTCGCGCATGCGCAATGTAAGGCGCCCAACAAACGCGCACAAAACGCACACAAAACGCGAGCAAAACGCACGCATTACGTTTTAGAAACTAAAAGCGTCAACGCGCCAACACCTACATAAATAATGAATGAACGGCCAACAGGCAAAGTGCAGTAATCAAATCTAGTAAATATAATGCAATATATACCCTGTAAATATTAGCTTTATTTATAATATAAATGTACATATATATTTATAGTATTTGTTTGGATGGCATTTCATCGTATTCGCTGAATAAAAGTTTGTCTACAAATTAATCAAATTCCAAGAAAACAATTAGGAATGATAAACGATTCACATGAGATCATATTCCAGGAATAATCAAGAAGAAGAGATAACAAGAGATTAGCTTATATGAGACTATTAAACAAATTGATCTTAAGGGGACAAAAAACTTTAAGTAAGGCCAAAAAAAAAATCTTAAAAAAAAAAACAAAACAAAATATTTAGCAAAAAAATAGAAAATATTAATTAGTAAGCAATACAAACTAATTAGTTAGTTCGATAATGAGTATACATATATAATGTACATAGCATAAGAGACAATAGGAGACTTTCTATATACAGCTTAAGAAAGACAAGAAGAGATATCCAGAGATTAGCTCATCAAGAATATTTCAACTAATTGATCTTAGGCAAAACAATTTTACAAAATCTAAAAAAAATCAAAATATTGCTTAAAAAGTGAAAACATTAATTAGTAGACGATACTAACTAGTTAGGTAATATATACTAACTAGTTAGGTAATATACTCGTAGGTATTACAGATAACCAGCGATTAGCTTATATAATAAGATAAAATTAATTGATCTTTAGCGGGAAAAGAAAACGATTTTAAATGAGGACAAATATAACAAATCTTAGCTTGAAGCTAATTGGTCTTGAGAAAGAAAAAAAAAAAAACAAATTTACGTATGAAAAAAAAAAACAGTTTTGCTTAAAGTTTTACAACACTTAATTAGCTAGTTAGTATAGAACTAAACCGCATCTAGAATGCATTCCATCCGTTTTGGGCATACGCAACGCCAGCAACCCTCCAGCACCCTCCCCTGGCCCGTACTCCTGGCCCACCCGCTGGCCAGTTCCACTAATGAATAACGTTCATCTCTGCGCTGTGTTTGTTTTCATTTTTGGCTTATGCGTTTTCTTCTCTTTCTCTCTCTTTTGATATTATTTTTAGCCAAAAGCTGGTTTCGAGCCAGACACCGCCTCGCTGCGAGAGAAAGTTGTGCTGAATCCGGGCGAGAAATGGCGCATTTTAAAGAATATCTCAATCATCTCGATCGCCTTTATGGTGCAGTTCACTGCGTTCCAGGTGAGAAATCCGCACAATGGCCCAGAAAATCGAGCCCAAACTAAACTAATTGGCAATCGCTATTTTTGTTGTTGTTGTTATTGTTATTTAGGGCACGGCCAATCTGCAATCCTCGATCAACTCGAAGGATGGACTTGGCACAGTGTCGCTCAGTGCCATTTATGCGGCGCTGGTTGTCTCTTGCATCTTCCTGCCCACGCTGATCATTCGGAAGCTGACGGTTAAATGGACGCTCGTTTGCAGCATGCTCTGCTATGCGCCGTACATTGCCTTCCAGCTGTTCCCGCGCTTCTACACCCTCGTGCCGGCTGGCATTCTGGTGGGTATGGGGGCGGCGCCGATGTGGGCGTCCAAGGCCACATATCTGACACAGGTTGGGCAGGTGTATGCTAAGATAACTGAACAAGCTGTCGATGCCATTATTGTGCGCTTCTTTGGCTTCTTCTTCCTGGCTTGGCAATCCGCCGAGCTCTGGGGCAATCTCATCTCCAGCTTGGGTAAGTCGACATAAATGCGTGAAGCGCTGGACAACATGACTAAATATCTCTCTCTCTGTCTCTCTCTCTCTCTTTCTCTTCGTCTCTCTCCCTTGCAGTTCTGTCGAGCGGCGCACATGGTGGCAGCAGCAGTGCCAATTCCACAATCAGTGAGGAGGATTTGCAGTATTGTGGTGCCAACTTCTGCACCACCGGCACCGGCGGCCACGGCAACCTGGAGCGTCCGCCAGAGAACGAGATCTTCGAGATCTCCATGATCTATCTGTCGTGCATTGTGGCCGCCGTGTGCATCATTGCCTTCTTCCTGGATCCCCTCAAGCGCTACGGTGAGAAGCGCAAGGGCTCCAATTCGGCGGCGGAGCTGTCCGGCCTTCAGCTCCTGTCGGCCACGTTCCGTCAAATGAAGAAACCCAATCTGCAGCTGCTCATACCGATCACCGTCTTCATTGGCATGGAGCAGGCGTTCATTGGCGCCGACTTCACCCAGGCCTATGTGGCGTGCGCCCTGGGCGTGCACCAGATTGGCTTCGTCATGATCTGCTTTGGCGTCGTCAACGCTCTCTGTTCCATACTCTTTGGCTCTGTGATGAAGTACATTGGCCGCACGCCCATCATTGTGCTGGGCGCCGTCGTCCACTTCACGCTCATCTCCGTCGAGCTCTTCTGGCGGCCCAATCCCGACAATCCGCTCATCTTCTACGCCATGTCCGGCCTGTGGGGTGTCGGCGACGCCGTCTGGCAGACGCAGATCAACGGTCTCTACGGCCTGCTCTTCAGGCGAAACAAGGAGGCCGCCTTCTCGAACTATCGCCTCTGGGAGTCGGCTGGCTTCGTCATCGCCTACGCCTATGCCACAACGCTCTGCACCCGCATGAAGCTCTACATTCTGTTGGCTGTCCTCACGCTCGGCTGCATTGGCTACGTCATTGTGGAGATTCTGTACAGAAAGAAGGTAAGTTCCCGAAGTCCGAGTGCCAATGGAGACACGATTCTAATGGAATTTCATTTACCTTCCCCACAGCAACGCAAGATCAAGAAGCAGGAGAAGCTCGAGGCTGCCGAGAAGGAGAAGGAGGCTGCGGCTGCTGCAGCAGCCGCTGCCGCTGCCGCCGAGACCAACAATGGCTTCGGCGACGCCGTCGAAGAGACCGATGATGAGCTGGACGATCTCGAGGAAGATATTGTAGTCACGCGCCTGTAATAGTCGTCATTTGTTAATTGTTGTACGTTCTTTTTGTTTATTTTCGCTGACGGCGACGACGCGTCGTCGTTGCGGCCGCAACAGCATCAACTGTTAACGCTTAACAGTGCGCAATTCTGTTAATCAAACACGAGTGCAAAAAATGTTAAACATAGATTCAAATACACACATACATACACACACACACGCACACTGTTGCATAACTGGAGGCGCACACACACATTTCGTCGGCCCATCGGCGACGCGTCCGAGCACTTTGTCGTTGTAGTTGTCGTAGTACTTAGTACATTCCCCCTTCCCAAATCCATTCAATACAAAAGGCCAACAAGCTAGCACAAGCGCACACACACACCAGTGCCTCTATACATAGCTATAAATTTTAATATAAATACATCTGTGTGCGTGCGTGTGTGTGTGTGTGTGTCCTGCACAAGTTTCGTTTGTACATATGCAAAAAATGTTAGCAGCCAATCGACGACTGCATCCGCAAAATTATAGCAATTGACGACAGAGGGCGTCTTCAACTTTACAGAGTGTGCGAAGAAGCAAGCAACGGTGTGTTAGTTAAATATAAGAAAGCCGCACACATACACACATGCACAAGCACCACGCACACTGGCAACACATGCTGCAGCAGTATGTGTGCTAATATGCCTATTAATTTGTTATTTTATTTTAAATACTAGCATTAAATCAATATATATACAAATTTTTTTTTTAATAATTTTTTTTTTTTGCTTGTATACAAAACCACAAGAAAACAATCAAACAAGAAAACGTGATAATCAGCCACACTCACAATACACACACACACACACACACACACACCGACACGAGTGCACACAGTCACAAAATAGTCAAATTTCTAAACTAAAAACTGGCCGCGAAAACTAATGTTAAACTTAATTATTAATTATAAGCAGTC